TGTTCCCTTCTCTTCTCTGAGGTGTAGTCTAGTACCAGTTGGTAAAGGTGATCAACCCATTGACACTACAATCACTACCACCAGCACTGATCCTGGAGTGTATAGGATACAGTGTAACCCTTCAACACGTGGTACCCATACAGTAAAAGTACAAGTATACGATGTTTACCTTCAGGATACATGTACCTCACTAGTCATCCCTTTCAATCCTTACCTTGATAACATCACTCCAGTACATGCTATAACTGAGCTTAATCGTCCCTGGGGAGTTGCTGTGAGTGATGATAATCATGTTATAATAACTGAGTTTTTCGGTCACTGTGTAACAATACTCGATAGAGATGGAAAGAAAGTCAAATCATTAGGAGGGAAAGGAGGAAGTGGTAATGTTAAGTTTTCTTCTCCTCGTGGTGTAGCCATTACTCCAGACAAGTTTGTTCTTGTGTCTGATGATCACAAAATCCAGAAGATAAGCATGAATGGATACCGTAAATTATCAGTTGGTAAGGAGGGCAGTGGACGACTACAATTCAGCTATCCTTCTGGTATAGCCATTTCTCCTTTAACTGGACAAGTTTATATTGCTGATAGTAATAATCATCGTATACAAGTCTTAAATCCTAATCTAACCTTCTCTCATTCATTTGGTATTGGAGGATCAGCTAATGGACAGTTTCAGCTACCATCTGACATTGCTATTGACAGTGAAGGATTAGTGTATGTTGCTGATATTAATAATTATCGCATTCAGAAGTTCTCTCCAGATGGAAAGTTTGTAGGTCAGTTTGGTACTGAAGGATTTGGTCCTGGAAAGCTTAATTATCCATTAAGTATAACAATAGACACTGCAGCTACTGGTCTAGTGTATGTTAGTGAAGAGGGCAATGATCGTATATCAGTCTTCACTAGTGATGGTATGTTTGTTAGGAAGTTTGGAAGTTATGGCAGTAATATTGATCAGTTTAATGCTCCTCATAGATTAGCATTTGATAAAGATGGATTCTTTTATGTTTGTGATTATAAGAATAAGCGACTTGTTGTTTATTAAGATGACTATTGTATTTTCATATGATAATTTTACTTATGATTATAAATAATAATGACAATACTAAGCGGACCTGATG